CGACCTCTGCCTCTCGACTTCCCCTGTCTAGGCTTGGGCAACCTGGCAGTATCCCAGTCCTCGTGCTTCCTTTGGGTGGCATCTACTTGTTTAATCCCTAGATGGACGAAGTCGATAGTGGACTGTTGAAGAGTTTTCTGAGCAACCTTATAATTGGTGTATTAAGTCAAGACACGATTAAACCTATTGTTTTCGCGCCAATAGGTTTCCTGCACTATGCTGAGAACAGTACTTATTGAACCTTATGATCTCACCTGGTTTGTTGAGGAGTAGTAACTATGGCTTTACTCTACCATATTCTTGTTGAAGTATGGTTTCTGCCTCTTTTCGCAACTCGCTTCGTCTGTCAGGTAAGACTCAACTGGAAGATGCCCCTTTCAAAAAGTCGTTCATTGAACTACTGTCAGGCTACAAAAGCCTAGACAGGCGCTATCGGAAAGCCTGATTAGTACCTCAACCTCGCCACGTTCCCTCATCTTAAACTGCCTGCAGGAAAGCAGAAGCTGGTCTTGCAGGCCCGTGATAGGATCGCTCCTGTAAGCTCATACGTATGATGAAACTGTTGGAAATGATGGCTCAATGGAGTCCTTCGAAGTCAAAAGTAAATTATTATTCTTCCGAATTTTGTGCGACAAAAAGGCTACCCGAAGATTTAGTTTTGAAGATGTCCAATAGAATGTAGACATCCAAGTCAGGGATTGGCATACTCGAGCCTTCGGGCGCTGCGCCTACCTGATAAGGTTCAAACAGACTAAAACTGTACCGTACTCGCGTTAGATTCGCGCAAAGGCGTCATCGGCACGTTGTCAGAAACTGCCTGCGTAGACCAAGGGAGTTACCCCGGACGGGAAAACAACAGTGGTGAGATATTTTCTCGATTCATTTTGATGATGACCTTTCTAGTTCTGGACTTTTTTATAAGCTGAATGTTGCTATTCCTTTGAAGCTGAATCCATGTATTTCAACTCGATTGGGGGCTCATCTGGCGGGGGCATCTTTATGTTGGCTGATGCGTTCCAAACTTCTAAGCGTCTTTTGTGATAGCTGTGCGCGTCTCTTCGTCATTTGTCCCTGATAGCTTGTACCCTGCATGTAACCTCGGTCAGCTTTTTAATCGATATATTTTCGTTGGAAATTCGCTGTTCGATGGAAGTCGGGAGTTGTCATTTTTTCGGTCAGACCTGCAATCCAAGTCCGGTAGAGATGAAGTCAACCTGCCGGATGAGAAAATATTTGTTTCAAATATTTATTCAAAATTGTTTGCGTGCATCTTTTCACATTCTGCATCGCGCCATTCTGTCTAGGCCATTTTAAAATTTTAAATACAACCACCAAGCGATTTGTAGATATGCCTAGGGAGACACTCATTGGTAACGTCACTTGGAATCGCCGTCCCTTTCCTACCAGATCACGTGCTTTTTTGTTCAATACCTTTGCACGATTGTCTTTCACATCGGACCAACAAAGACGTGTGAGGGATTAGACTGTAGTCTGCCAACATGGAACACTAAAGACAACGAACATACATCTGAACATGAAAATCGATTAGGACATGTCAGTCGGTTAGAATCAATCGTCTCATCAATGGGAAACGTAACCGTATACGTGTGGTCTCAGTGTCATGAGTGTTAGAGCATTCCGTAGTGGAACAGTGCAAATGACTTAGCTCGTTTGGTTTGGCTAGGTTTAAGTTGGCAGCAAACAGAACTCATCTGGGAAGTGCACTCATTGGCCTCTTCCTATGATTGGGACCTCTGTGATACGGCGACCTACCCGTCAAAACAGATCGACTTTTGGTGTTCGCGCTGTAAACGGTGTCGTAAGTTAGCATACGGGAACTTGGGTAGGCGTTCTTCTAGCCGTTGGAACCAGAAAGGTGAAAAATCATCATACAAACGTCGTAGAATCAATTGGATGGGACATGTCCATAATTATCCTCGAGACAGGACTTTACCGCTGAATGCAGACTGTATGGAGTTTCATTACAACTTTGTCGTAATTCACCTATTTCTTACAGCTTATTTGGTCCATCGACAACGTAGAGAACGTGAATAGTAGAAAATTGCAACCCTCACGTGACCGTCACATGGACTTATGTTCTTGGAATCACAATGAGAGTGGTTCACCGCTCAATGGCAGAAGGAAACAGTTGCCGTCGATCGCGCAACTTCATGCTATCTAACTTGAAAAGTACACAGCAACATCTCAGTTGTTACCGACAATATCTAATCTAAAATAGGTTGCCGTTTTTATCAGCAGTGGTTACACTTACTTTGTTGTTAAATATTCCTTATATCCATGGAACATGGCTTGCTATCTCTTATGGTACTTTTCCAACTAATTTCATTACACCTTGGTTTGTTTTCCACCTCCCCCTCCCTCATCTGAAGCCCTCGATCTCTTGGACAAACTCCTCTGTTTCGTACCCTCTCGGCGAATCAAAGTTGAAGATGCCCTTGCCCACCCTTATTTGGAGCAATACTATGACCCAACAGATGAGGTTAGTTCATTCTCAAATCTTTCTTTGTACCAGTTAAATTCTGTATTTTAACCGTTTGATATTCTAATTGTGAAACAAGGGTCGTCCATTTTATCGATCGATCGTTTTTTTCGTCACAAAGACACGCATGCATGTTAAGGTAATCGCGGATAGTACATGCATGGAGACATTGTTGCACGGCGCACCACACTTCTGTGATAACCGGTATATACTTCACGGTAGCTGTCTGTAGCTTTTCTCCTCTCTTCCAACAGATAATCACTGTCGAAACCGATTAAAGCCGACACTCTGTCTAGATCAGTTCACCGCAAGCCACACATCCACCTTGCTCACCTTGTTGTTGGTGGCAGCTCGAATTCGACGGTTTTGGTGTGCAGCTTGTAAACAAAACGATCTAGTATGGTTGACGGTACGGCACGTTTCGTGGACAGGAGCTTTTTCGCATTTCATTCACTGCGACCAATCCATCAGCTGTTTGACACCTTGATAGCCTTGGCCAGTCCACAACTTTTGTCAAACTGTTTTCATCTCTCGTAGTTGGTCTGTTGACAGGTTTCGCCACGCTATTCAATGTGCTCACCACTGTGTCGTGCGTAGCCATGTTTTGGTGAACGCTGGCCCACCAACAATCGGTGGACAGACTAAAAGTTCAGCTTCGAAAGATCATTTCTTCAAAACGCCAGCTAACCCTATTGATGATTGCCTGTTGTTCCTTGCTCTAAAGATGGTAGAATAGAACGGTTATATCTCAGTGGTCCGCGTTTAAGCTGCGTCACACTATTCAGGCTATCGAAGTGAGTTTATACGCCCGACTTTCAGTTTGAGCAAACCCGTACATCACGCATGTAGGAACATTGGTTCTCATTGCCATAGACTTAGATTTATGCACCAATTTATCATCTCCCGCCTGCAATGCGCAGCTACCTACCCCCCCCCCTCAAATCATCGGTGAACGAAACTGCGGCAGCTACAACCGCTGTACGACGAGTACGTGGTTATTACAGCTGACAGTGATGATGATGGTGAATTTATTTAGATACCCTCTTCAAGCGATCGCGCCTTGCTTCAATGGTTTTCGGGATGGTGACAGATTCCCCCGGGGGTAATGTGTAGGGTCCAAAATCAGTATACCAGCCGTTGAAAAAGTCCCGTACGGGACGTCCCATCAGCGATCTTCAACCGAGCATTTTTCATGGCACAACTCGTCTTTCACCTTAATCATGGGTATCAGTTGTTGCTTCAAAGCAATAACCTGAACCGCATCATCCTCCATGGTTTTTCGTTCTTTCTCGTCTCGTTTTCCAAAGGACTCATCCGAATCACCATTCTCTCTAAATTTATCTTTGAACTCGTGATGTGCCAATGTAAGTCGAGATTGGGGAAGGACAAAAGTCTCGCCTGATTACCGAAAAAGCACTTTCACCCTCCAAATACATGACACCTGAGAACCAGCCTCCATCTTGTCTCTGAATAATCCCCTAATCGCATTGCCAGCAACATGAGCTTTGTCCATATCTCCAGGATGGGCACTCGAAGTAGGATCTTACCATACATCGACAACAAACGAACTCTCAACACGCTGGCTTATGTCCAGCCCCTAAACTGCGGTTTCTTCTGTACGATCTCACCGATCTCAGGGTTCGTTGCCTCGTTGAGGACCAAAAGAGCCTCTTTGGGGATAAGATATCGCGTTGTCTTGAGGGCAGAGTGATCTATCTACGGATAGACAGCCCTTTAGGAATCTCTCGAGGGGTGCTCGTTTTGACCTCTTTGGAGTGTCCTCTCTTCGATAGATAGATAGATAGATAGATAGATAAACAGATAGATAGATAGATAGATAGATAGATAGATAGATAGATA